TTTGCATTTTTTCCTATAGCCTATGTGTTTATGTTCTTTATCCATTTTTTTCTACTGATTTTGCTCTTTTCCTTCTTAATTTATAGGAACTCTATATAGTATGAAAGAGTTTACCCTTTGTGATAAACATATTAATTGAAGTATGTTTCTCAGTTTGTCAAGTTGTCTTTCACTTGGCTTATTATGTCAACTGGAAGATTTTTTTTTTAAGACAGTCTTACTTTGTTGCTCTTGGTAGAGTGCTATGATATCATAGCTCATAGCAACCTCAAACTCTTGGACTTAAGCAATTCTCTTTCCTTAGCCTCCTGAGTAGCTGGGACACGATGCCTATTCTTAGAGATGAGGTCTTATTCTGGCTCAGGCTGGTCTCAAACTTGTGAGCATAGGTAATCCACCTGCCTCAGCCTCCCAAAGTGCTAGGATTACAGGCGTGAACAACCATGCCTGGCCTGAATATTTTTATTTTTATGAAATTAACCGTACCAATCCTTCATTTCTTAGCTTTTGAATTTTGAGTCATAGTTAGACTTCCATACTTCAAGGTTATAAAAGAATTATCAGTTTTTTCTTCTAAAAATTTAATGGTCACATTCTTTATGTTTAAATTCTGATCTTTATAGAGTTATTCTGCCGTACAATGTGAGCTATGAGTCTAATTTTGTCTCTTATCAATGGCTCCCAACACATTTATTTTAAAGTCCATCATCTTCAATGTTAAGATGTCACTCTTCTACATTTTAAATTCCTCTTCATGCTTAGACTCTTTTATCTTATGCCATTGGCTGATCTAACTGAGCCAATTTCAACTATTTTAATTATTGAGCTTTTATTATGTTTAATAATTGACAAGGCTAAGCACTCTCTAATTCTTCTTTATTATAAATGTTCTGTCTATTCTTAGTTATTTTCTATATAAAAATAACTTGACCTCCCAGAGTGCTAAGATGACAGGTGTGAGCCACCATACCCAGTGTGAAGTCACATCTTAAAAACACAGTAGAATGTTCATAGTTATTCACCTCCTACATTGACCACCTCCTTAAGTTGACTTAATTTTCATAGACTGAACATGCACCACAGTACAGTAGGTCTAGTTCTTTATACTGAAGACCTGCATATTCTGACCAGTTTCTTACAGTCTTTTATGTGGTGAGCTTACAGAGGTTCTACTGTCCTCTATATTAATGAAATAGAAAGGATCTAATAGCTACATACGGTGATCTCAAAAAATTACACAATTGAATTGCAGGCTGGTCTAACCTTTTTAAAAATTTAACCATTTTTTAAAGTATGCAATTTAGTATATTCACTATGTTGAACAACCATCACCACTAATTCCGTAACATTCCATACCCAAAATAAACTCCATACCTTTAAGCATTCCCCATTCTCTTTCTCTCTAGCCCGTGACAACCACTAGTCTACTTTCTGTCTCTGGATTTACATATTCTGGACATTCATGTTTATAAAAAAATCATAATAATATGTGGCCTTTTCTGCCTGCCTTTTTTCACTTAGCATGATGTTTTCTAGGTTTATCCAAGTAGTATGTATTAGTATTTCATTTCTTTGTATATCTGTATAACATTCCATTGTATGGATCTACCATGTTTTATATATCCATTTATCAGGTGAAGGATGTTTTGAGTTGTTTTCATTTTTCTTTTCTTTTTTTTTTTTTTTGAGTTTCATTATGTCACCCTTGGTAGAGTGCTGTGGCGTCACACCTCACAGCAATCTCAAACTCCTGGGCTCAAGTGATTCTCTTGCCGCAGCCTCCCAAGTAGCTGAGAACTACAGGCACCCACCACAGGGCCTGGCTATTTTTTGTTGTAGTTGTCATCATTGGCTAGCTGGCCCTGGCCGGGTTTGAACCTACCAACTTTGGTGTATGTGGCTGGTGCTGTAACTACTGTGCTACAGGCGTCAAGCCTGTTTTCATTTTTTTATTAAGTCAGATACACACAGATCATGACTACATTCATGCATATGTGGGGTATAATGTACTGATCTTTTTTTTATACAATCTGCTGTGGTTATATTAAACCAATCAACATAGCTTTCACCTCATTTACTTGATTATTGTGCCAAAACATCTATGTTCTACACTTCACAGATTTGACTTATACCCTTGTCATATGCTCCATAGATGTGGTCCCACCTTTCACCCTCCCTCTGTCAAACTTCCCCCCACTGTTTTCATTTTTCATCTATTAAAAGTAATGCTACTGTGAACATTTGCATACAGGGTTTTGTGGCAGCATTATTTACATGGAATATCATTTATACTTAAATTATTCATTCAAACTTAGGAATTTGGCAGAAATTTTCTGGAAATGAATAAAGTAGCCTTGTCACTTCAAGGAAAACAATATTTGTTACCAATGTTAAATTTTGAGTATTCAAAAAAAATTCAAATTTTAGAAAACTTGTATCTTCCCTAGTCCATGTAGTATATTCTGTAAAGTTTTCTAATGATAGAAGTGATAATATTAAAGAATGTAACTTTCTGATAATGCATAATGAAATATGTCAACATTTGGAAGAGGTGTACAACTCATTGAATCAGTATTTTCCAGATGATCCATGTGCAATACCATAAAATCATGTACAAGTAAAATGTCCACTCAAATTACAAAATATATCAATGAATATTATAATTCATCCTTATGGAGGTAAATTTACTTTCCACAAAATTTATCCTGTTTAAGTATACCCTTCAGTGATTTTAATAAATTTGTATAGTTTTCCTTCCAATTTTAGAACATTTGTATTAACCCAAAAAATTTTTTTGTGCCAGTTTATAATTACTGACCTTTAGCGACCACAGGCACTGCTACTCCACTTTCAGTTTCTATAGGTTAACCTTTTCTGGACATTTATGTAAATGGAATCATACAACATGTGGGGTTTGCCTATAGCTGTTTAGCATGTTTTTGAGGTTCATCCATGTCGTTACATTTTTTAATTGTTCAGTCTTTCTTGTGCTGAATAGAATTCCATTGCATGGAATGGGTATACATGTATCACATTTTATTTATCCTTTTATCAACTGATAAACATTTGAGTTGTTTTTTATTTGAGCTACAGTGAATAAGCTGCTGAGAACATTTGTGTACAGGTTTTTTTGTGAACATAATGCTTTCAGTTCTCTCAGGTATAAGCCTGAGAGTGGAATTTCTGTTTCACATAGTAACTATATGTTTAAAAGTTTTGGAAACCGTCAAACTTCTCTCCAAGTGCCTGTACCATTTTACAACCCCAATGGCAAAGGTCTGAGGGTTACAGTCTATCCATAGTCTTACCAATACCTACTATCTTTTTTGTTATAGCCATTTTAGCATGTATAAAGTATTATCTCATTGTGGTTTTAATTTGCATTTTCCTGATAACTAAAGATGTTGAACATCTTTCCATGTGCTTTTTGGTCATTTGTACTTCTTCTTTGATGAGCTATTTAGTATTTTGCCCATTTTTTATTTGGTTTGTTTTATTAGTAGGTTGTGACATTTCTTTATATATTTCAGATAAAAGTCATTTATCATATATATGATTTACAAATATTTTCTTCAACTCTGTGGCTTTTTTTCTTAATGACGTCTTTGAAAGTTAAAAGACATTTTGAAATTTGATGAAATTCATAACAGTATAATGTCCCCATAGAACATGAGGAGTTTATAACAATAGATTTTAATGTCATAGAGCATGAGTTCATTGGTATACTTTTATTTCATATTTTAATAATCCTTTAAGTTATCATTTATGAAGATTTGGTGCATTATTACTATCTGAATGAACTGTTAAAATATCCATCAGAATCCTCAAAGAACTCAAAATAGACCTTCAATTTTATCATAAGGACATTTACACTAGATTATTTATTGCAGCTTAATTTATAGTCATGAAGATGTGGGATCAACCCAAGTGCCCATCAACCTATGAGTGGACTAATAAACTGTGGTATATGTATAACATGGAATACTATTCACCATAAAAGATGGAGACTTTACCTCTTTTGTATTAACCTAGGTAGAGTTGGGGAACATTCTCTTTAGTAAAGTATCACAAGAATGGGAAAGCAAGTATCCAATGTATGCAATACTAATTTGAAGCCAGTAGATGAACTAATACATGCCCTCACTAGAGAAAAACTCAATTCAAGTTGGAGGAAGGAGGGAGGGAGATTGTTGTGTTCTCACCTAATCGGCACAGTGTAAGTGTGTACGGCACACCTTATGCGTGAGGAGCACAACTACAACAGGGACCTTACCTAAAAATGCAAACAGTATAACCTAATCACTTATGCTTTCATTAATCTGAAAAAAATTTCTCCATTTTATGGTTTCACATCTGTGTGAAGCTATATTTTTTTAGTGTGTTTTAAGCTAAACTGTTTACTACAGCAGACTGAATGCAGAAATAGGTGTAAAAATTTATATATCTTTTATTAATGCAGACATTCAAGAGATTTATAAAAATGTAAAATGAGATCCCTTTTGCCACTAATTTTCTGTTAATGTATAATACATTTATTGTTAATTTTCAGTAAAATAATGAATAAATACTTAAAATGTTTTCAGTTTCAGTTTTTAATACTGTAAATATCAATAGGTATACTCATTTAAATAGAAGTTCTTTGAGATAATAAGTAATTTTCAGTAGTGTAAGGATTCTTAAGGTTAAAAAGCAACATATTTTAGAACTGCTGCTTTTCATTTAACATGCTAACTTAGAGTCATATAAGACAGCAGCTGTGTGTCAGCTGCATTGCTTTCTGTTTTTTATATAATTTGGTCATATTTATTTGGAATGTTAGATTTTGAAAGCAGGGACAAAAATTTCATTTTTATTTTGTTTCTCAAAAGATCATAATTGTCCTCCTGGAATAAGTCTAATGAAAACTTAACAAGGGATTGAAGACGTTTCCATTGGCTTACCATGTTAGAGCAGCATTTCTTGTGTTGGCTTTAATATAAGCAGCTAATTTTTTCATTCAGGTGGAAGAACACAATGGTCACATCTTTAAGGCCACCCAGTATAGTATCCCTACATACTGTGAATACTGCTCTTCTTTGATATGGATAATGGACCGAGCCTCTGTTTGCAAATGTAAGTATGAGAAAGTTTTTAAACCACTTGGTATTTCTATTTCCTTGAATTTTCTTTTATCTTCTTTAACATAATTCATCTGCCTAATTTTTTAGCCCCATCACTCACTATAGTTCCTTCACCTGTTCTTTGTATCCAAACCAGATATTTTGTTACTACCTGGTCACTGAGAACCTTGTACTTGCAGCTCAGTCTGAAATGTTCTTCTCTCAGATTTTAGTCTGACTTCATATTTCAGTTACTATCTACACTCCCATGTCACCTCCTCAGAGAGCTCTTTTCTAATTCTTTTAAAATGCTACCCTGTTCCCAAATTCTCTGTCTCTACTCAGATTTAACAGTTTTTATAGCACTTATCACCACCAGTCAAAATAGAGTAAGTATTCATTTTTCTTATTTTTCATCTATCCCCCTTTATAAGCTGTATGTGTATAATATCAGGAAACTTATCTATCTCTTCTGTATCAACAGTGCCTAGAACAATTCTAGTACATAGTTTTAGTAAATATTTGATAGATGATTGTATGGATGAATGAACAGATTTTTACATTATAGCCAAAACACTACTTTTTCCACTATAATCTTTTCAACGTAAGATAAATATCCTAAAATGTGAGTAGAGAGACTCTGTGTAAATCAGCTTGGTTCTGGCTAATAGTGGACCTTTTCAGCTTTAGCTTCAGCTTCCTTCATTTTATGCATCTACTCTGGCACGGTCATTAAATCTGTAAAGCTTTGCTTTTTACTAGTGTGCCAGAACTGAATAAAGGAAATATTATCAAGGAAGCACTGGTTCCAGTGTGACAATGAGAAAAACAGTCATGTCCAGAATATATAGTGGGCATATCCACCTGTTCCAATAGTTTCCTATTGTTTAGTTATCAGTAGTCTGAAAAATTACCATGGGAGTGAAAATGGGAAGTACCATGTAATGTACTCGACTGCTTAATGTTAGTCTGATCCTTGTATGTTTAGAGTAATTTTTTCTGTGACTCAAAGCTGAAAATTTAAAGAATTTGGTTTTTTATGACTGTGGTGGGCTTTGTTTGATTTGCTTCTTGATAAATTTAACTAATTTTCTTTGTTACCATTCTGATGATTTTACCCATAGAATGACATGGGCTTCCCTACTTGCTCTTGGCCTTAAAATCCCCATGAGTTATACTTAGAATGTCAAGAAAGGATATTCAGGTGTTGATATTCAGAACTCAGAGCCTGTGTAGCCAAATTAAAGTCATCTGTCTACTCAGTACTTTCTTCTTACTGTGCCTTTTCCTGCTCACCAACTACCCAGCCACTCTGTTTTCTACACTCAGATAAATTACTTTTGCTCTGAACTTTTCATTTGTCTCATCTTTCTAATCACGACTGATACTCCTATATTCTGGTTACTTTGAGGCCAATCCTTGACCTTTAGAGATAACAAATAGGACCTTTCTTATATCTTCATATGCTACCCAATTAGTTTTCATTTCAGGAACTGTCTTTGACAGCAATGCCTCCCTTATCCGTAGGAATGATTCTTAATAGTTATTTCTGACACTTACAGTGGTTCTCAACCTTCCTAATGCTGCAACCCTTTGATACCATTCCTGTGGGCCGAGAACCACTGCTTTAGTAGGTTGTGGAGCGTATACCTGGGGAACGAGAACACTAATTTTGAATCAAACCACAAATATAAATATTGTGCTGCAATTTGGAGGGGGATGGTATAGGGACAAGACAGGGAGTCTTGAAAATAAAAATCTTCTTCATTAACAGTTGCTAAAAATTGTGGGTATGTATTTCAACTTCTTTATCCCCATTAGAATAGGCTAAAATCAGTTATAGTTAGAACACAGAACTGAGTGTGTGTGTGTGGCAGGATACTATAGCAATCTGAGATTTAAAGAAAAAACTTAGGTCCAAAATAAAATTACAAACTTGATAAATTCCTACCATTGATGTGTAGACTTATGAAAATGCTGTATTCTGAACCTGTTTTTCAGTATGCAAGTATGCTTGCCATAAGAAATGCTGTCTGAAAACCACAGCCAAGTGCTCAAAAAAGGTAAGAAGTCATGACCTAGCAGTAATAGATAACAGATCTTTGGTTTTTTTTATGCTTATGGAATGAAATCAAAGCCTCTTGGATGCTTTTATACGGAGTAGTGCTTTTCAAACTTTTTGACCAAAAATCATAGTAAGAAATACATTTTATATAATGTTTCATACACATATGGGGGATGTGTGTACATAATTGAACTGATAATATCTTTATATGAGCTACTATTTTAATTTCACAAACCACAACTTCAAAAATATTACTTCTAAAAGTTTGCCACTTCCTACCCGGTTGTTGTGGCAGGTGCCTGTAGTCCCTGCTACATGGGAGGCTGAGCCAAGGGAATCACTTGAGCCCAAGAGTTTGAGGGTGCTGTGAGCTGTGATCCAGCACTCTACCCAAGGCACAGAGTGAGACTGTGTCTTAAAGAAAAGAATTTCAATAATTAGTCATGCAGTAAATCTTTTGGTTTTTAAAAATCTTAAAAAAATTAAAAATAAAAATATTTGCTACTTCCTTAAACATTCTTAAATCTTCCTAGGAATTATCCTTAATGTGGTAGGGAGCTATAATTAAAGGTGAACAACAAAGTTTACCAGTATAGTTGGGATTTTATATTTTCTATTTGAGTACACAGAGTTCTAAAAGTTACTGAACATGTACTCTTTGCTAACTAAAGCAATCATTTTTTAATAACTTCTGCTTTTATTGATAGTTACAATATCTTCTTATTAATCACATACTGACAATTGTTACATTACTATGCAAATCTGAACTATGATATAAATATGTGTGCATGCATTTGCCACTCATGTACAGAATTTTCATTTGTTTCAAATTAACAGACAAATCATGGCAAAATATATAGAGAAATTTGATCATGAAGTCAAGTGAGACCTTTGTTTCCAGCTAAGAGGGAGTAAGCAGACCAATTGTAAAAAAAAAGTCTATTGGCAAGCATTAGGAAGCCTCCTATGCAAATTGGACTTTTGGGGACCAGATCCTAAAGAAAAGTAAACGCAAAGTAGTGGATGAATCTATATCTGTGAGACATCTTCCTCCTAGTAGGAATTTTTTAATTTTTGATGGAGGACAAGAAACCAATATTTAGGGCAAAGCACCACATTTAAGAGTCAGAAAAGCCCGAAGAGCTTTTAGCCATGATTCAGTCATTTAAAGGAATGAGCCTGAAACTTAAAGAGATTTTTCCCTCAAGGTATTTTAAAATTCTTAAGCTGTATAGGGCAAGAGGCTAAGAAGGTAATCAGAAAAAAATATTATAGTTTTCTGTAGTTTCACAGTGCTAAGGAAAGAAATATTGGAATCGTAGTATCCAGCATCGCAGAGAAGGACCTTAATCAATACCCAGACTCTCAGTGAAACCTCTAAAGAATCACACCCTAGCAATAGGGGTAAACAAACCATTGCTAGATTGAGCATGACAAAAACAGCAAACCAGCTTTGAAAGCAGTCCTTGATTAGATTAGATGATCTTTTCCTTATTCTAATAAGCCACCCATGAGAAACAGTAGAGTGAAACCTCTCTAAACTAGACCCTTTACAATTTTTTCATATATGACATCAAACAAAGAAATGAGATAGAGGGAAAAATAAATAGGCAATGTCAGTAGACTCATAGACAACCCACCTATGTGGTTAAAAAAGTTACTGTGTTTAAATATTTAAATTCAAATATAGAGAAATTTTTACCATAGAATTTAAATATAGTTGGCCCTCTGTATCCATGGGTTCTATATCTGTGGATTCAACCAAATGCATGTTGAAAATATTTGGGGGAAAAATACTCCTCAAAGCTCCTAAAAGCAAAACTTGAATGCATTCCTCACCAAGTACTACATTGAATCTACACACAAATGGAGTGATGTTAGGCATTCATCATATTAGGAATTATAAATAATATAAGGATGATTTGAAGTACATGGGAGGAAGTGTGCAAGTTATATGCAGATTTTCTGCCATTTTATAGGAGACTTGAGCATCCATCGATTTTGGTACCCAGGAAGGATACTGTAACCAATTTCCCACAGATCCCAAGGGACAACTGTACATATTTACATGTATATTTTAAAAGAATCAAATGGAATTTCTAGAAATTAAAAAATGCATTTGAAATTAAAAACCCAAAGGATAGGTTTAACAGCAATAGCAGAAGAGGAGAGTGGTTGGCAGAAGCGGAGACTGATGAACTGAAAGGTCAGTTGAAATTTCTTGGCATGGAGAGCAAAAAGAATGAGGAAATACAGAAATAAACATGAGAGACGGTAGAGTCTAGGAGGAGAGGAGAGATGAGGGAGAAGCATCATTTAAGAAATAACAGCCAATACATCAAGTCACAGGTTCATGAAGTACTTTTAAAACTAAAGTAGAACAAATGCAAAGAAAAGGCCAAAGAAAAGAAAAGGGGAAACTTCTTAAAAGCGACCAGAGAGGAAAAAATAAACATTGCCTAAAGTTGCGATGAAAAGACTGACAAATGACTTCTGAACAGAAATCATGGAAGCCAAGAAACCACGGCTTGGCATCTTATAAATATAGGAAAATAAGGCAAATGAAGAATTCTGTACCCAGTGAAAATACCCTTCCAAAGTAAAAGTCTTGTGAAGACAAACAAAACGTTAGAATTTGCTATCAGCAGACTTGTACTAAAAGTTAAATACTAATGAGGTTCTCTGGGCAGAAGGAAAATGGTCTCAGTTGGAAACAAATGCAGGAAGGAATGAAGAACAATGGAAAGAGTAAAATATGTGTAAATATAAATGTATATTGACTGAAAACATAACTAAAATGTCTTTTGGGGCTTAAAGCAAATATAGAATTAAAGTGTATGACACCAGCAACGGAAAAAACAGTTGGTTAAGTAGAGTCATAATATTCTAAGGTCCATTTGTATCATCTGGGAAGTGGTAAAAATGCTATAGAGGTTGCCAAAAACATGTACATTTTAAGAAAGGAAAAACCTATTAAGTTTTTTAAATTTTGATATTTAATATATACCAATAATAAAGATGTGTATAGGTCATGTTTGACTTCTGCAATTGCAAGAGGTGCTGGAAGTGGTTACTTTCAGCATCCAGACACTCTGATATGGCAAACAACTGCTTGAGCAATGTTGACCAAAGTATCCACTTGTATCACTGTACATCCTTTAAGATCTCCATAGGTAGAAGTCAAAGGATACTCAACCACACCTCTTGGTTTTATCCATTGTCCTAGCAAATTCTCATTGAGCTAAGCTGTCACATCTCAGTGCATGTCATAATCTTGGGATGAAAACTTCCCGGTTTGCTATTTTAAGAACACATTGTATGCTTGTTCTGCTAACTCCTGCCTCACATGCACGTTATTTGGTAGACTTCGTGGTGAGTGTGTGAGCAGAAGCAGGACTTGTGGCTGTGCGAGGGGTGCTAGGTCTTCCCTTGTAGACATCACACAGTACCACGTGTCTCAGACTTATCATTAATGCTGCAGTTGTTAGGCATGTTAAGGTTCTGTTGCATACTCACACCTTCGTTATTGTTGTACTTCCACAGCATTCTCCAATTTTAAATACCACTTCAAAATGATCTTGTGTTCCTTGAATGACAACCATTGCTTCTTTGACTATCCTATTGCAGTGACACTAGCTTTCATTTCAGTAACAGTATCTTTTGAGCAAACACCACACTACACATTGCTACCGTAATTCAATTCAACTTTAAAAAGTAATACATAGATAATAAAAATCATTTTATCACAAAGACATTTGCACTAGAATGTTTATCACAGCTCAAATTACAATCGCCAAGATGTAGAAACAACCTAAATACCCATCAACTTAGGAATGAATTAACAAGCTGTGGCTTATGTATACCATGGAATATTATTCAGCTGTAAGAAAAAATGGTGGCTTTACATCTCTTAACCTGGATGGAGATGAAATATACTCTTCTTAGTAAAATAGCACAAAAATGTAAAAGTAAGTATCCAATGTACTCCATTTTATTGTGAAGCCAATAGACGATCTAGCACACTCCCATGTAGGAGAAAAACTTAACTTATGTTCAAGTTGGAGGGAGGAGAAGGAGAGGGAGTGATTGGTATGCTCCCACTTAAAAGGCACACGATAGTGGTATATGGCATGCCTTTTGGCTGTGGGACACAACTATAGGAGGAACTCTACCTAAAAAGTTCAAAAATTGTGACCTGGTTGTTTGTACCCTCACAATAACCTGAAATAATAAAATAAAATAATAAAAAAGTATACAGTTTTTTGGCATCCCCAGTATATTAGACTCAAATGTGTTGTAGAGGTCATTTCTAAAGTAATCACTAGAAAAGTAATAAAAGAATGTATAACTTAAAAACTAATAACGAGGAAAAACAAAAAAATTGACTATTATGAAAGAGGCAAGAAATAAGAGAAAAGGAAACATAAAATGAATTAGGGAAAAAAATAGCAGATTGATAACAAATCAGAATATGCTGGTGATTTCATTAAAATGTGATTAAGAGGCAAGAAATAAGAGAAAAGGAAACATAAAATGGGTTAGGAAAAAAATAGCAGATTGATAACAAATCCGAATATGTTGGTGATTTCATTAAAGGGTGATTATCCTTTTGACTGCAAACAGTCCCTGTAGGCAAACAGGATGTCCCTTTGGTGTGAACAGTACCTTTAGGTGTTCAGTACAAGATGTTTCTTTGGTGGCAAGGACACCTGTAGGCATGCTTTGTTTCTGAGCACTCCACAAGGGTTAAAAGGGTAAATACTCCAAATAAAGTTAAAATCAATGACAAAATACCAGTGATATGCTGTTTACAAGAGATATACTTAAATACAAACATCTAGAAAGGTTGAAAGCAAAAGGATAGAAATAGTAGAAAGCAAAAGGATGAAATAGTATGCTACTATTTTAATTAATCAATGGAAAGCTGCCCATGATAGACTAATATTAAAGTGTGCACTATGGCAAGAAGCTTTACTTCAGATAAAATGGCTCATAATG